ATTTATTTTTATTTTATGTGCATTGATGTTTTCCCTGCATGTATGTCTATGTGAGGGTGTTAGATCTTGGAGTTATAGACAGTTGTTAGGGGCCATGTGGGTGCTTGGAATTGAACCCAGGTTATTTGGAAGAGCTGTCAGTGCTCTAAACCACTGAGCCATTTCTTCAGCCCCACATCTGGCTTCGGTTCTGCTAACCCAACAATGGCTGTCTATGAATGGAATGGCCAAGGACCCAGTAGCTTGTTCAGTCTGTGAGGCTGGATGTCTCAGCTGGTCTTCAGTAGACACCAGAATGCCAAGGAAGTAGGTGCTAATGCCAGTGAAGGAATGCACTTGCTAGCAAGGGTGAGAACTTCTTCCAGGTCCTTTTATAGGCTGTCTACCAGCCGAAGGTGTGGTGTCTTCCCACCTCAAAGATGAGAAGTGGGTCTTACTCCTAATAATTTAATTAAGAAGAGAAAATACTTCACAGGTGTGCCCAGTCATTTGGGTTTTAGTCGATAACAGATATAGTCAAGTTGGCAACCAGGAATAGCCATCGCACATGGCAAGAGCTTTACCAACTAAGCCTCCCCCCTCAATTTTTTTTTTTTTTTTAAATAAAAAGTCTCAAGTATCCCAAAGTGTCCTGGAAATAACCTTGAACTCCAGACTCTCCTCTCCTACCTCCACCTCCCCACTAGTTAGAGTACAGGCATGTGCTACCATGCCTGGTTTTATGTGGGGCTGGGAATGAAACCCAGGCCTTATATATGCTAAGCAAGCACTCTGCCAACTGAGCTACAGACCCAGCTCTCTTTCTGTCTCTGTCTCTGTCTCTGTCTGTCTCTCTCTCTCTGTGTGTGTGTGACAATGAGGTCAGAAGATGTAGGAACTGTTTTTCTTCTACCATGTGGATCTCAGGGATTGAACTCAGGTTGTCTGATTTTGGGGGGGGGCCTTGAAAAGGATTTATTAATGACAATGTCATGTTGCAAAATCAAAAGACTGGATGTGTCTGACTCTAGTCAGAGACCTGCTTAATGTTCTAGAAATCTCCATATCGAGATTAGTGTCCACCAGGGAGGGCAGAGAGCTGGGATTGTCCTAAAAAGGGGTGCAGGATAAATGAGGTCTCTAGTAGCATGTGGGTGAAGGGGTCATAGTTAGGGCTGGGTGTCCCCTTGGGGGTCAGGTCTTATATCTCGATCCTGCTTCTCTCCAGATGTCACAGGCTCCAGTGGGATCCGGGTTCTACCCCAGGGCTATGGCTGGAATCTGCTCTATGGCTCCCTGCTGCTTAGCCTTGTGGGTGTCGTGTGCACACTGGGAGCTGGACTCTACGCCAGTGCCTCCTTTCTTACATTCCTGCTGGTTTCTGGCTCCCTGGCCTCCGTGCTGATCAGCTTTGTGGCAGTGGGACCCAGGGACATCCGGTTAGCTCCCCGACCGGGATCCAATGCTTCCTCTGTGCCACCCCGGTATGGCCACTTCACTGGTTTCAACAGCAGCACTCTAAAGGACAACTTGGGTGGTGAGCTGAATACTGTAGTGGGGGGGAGGCAGGGTGTGTGTGTGAGCCGTAGGTGGGCTGTGGAATCCCCGGAGGAGGGGCTGGAGAGATGGTTAGGAGTGCCCAGCACCCATATCTGGCAGTTCACAGCTCCAGCTTCAAGGAATATGGCGCCATTCTCTAGCCTCCTTGGGCGCCTGCACACACATGGCATAACCCCTCCCCCACACTTATAGTAAAATATGCAAATAAGTCTTAAAAACAAGAATCCCAGGAAAAGCTATGGATGTAGCTCAGTTGGCAGAGCTCGTAAAATTTCACTGGGTTCTACTCCCAGTATCCCATTAAGCGCTCTTGTGGTGGTGCACACCTGTAATCCCAGCACTCAGAAAGTAGAAGCAAGAAGATCAAGAGTTCACTGTCACCCTTGGCTGTACAGTGGGTTTGAGGCCAGCCTGGGATGCAATGAGATCCCATTGTGGCAGAAGGGAGGAACAGACTAAGGGTGGTTTAAGCAGAGAAGGGGGAAACTAACTTTGATTCCGGCTCTGGGAAGGCACGAGCAAGCCCTTGAGCCGGGTGGGTGAATTCAGATAGGGAGGCCCATGAGAAAGTACAGAGGAGAATGGGGAGGCGATGACACACGTCCCCCACACAGGTTGGGCTGGAGTCTAAGTCAGAGCTGTGGCGGGGAGGTAAGCTCTCGGGGCGGGGAATGAGGAAGCAGACCGCAGGGCCAAGATGTCTGGATCCCTGAGAGGAACACCGATGCACTTCTCTCACCCAGCTGGCTATGCTGAGGACTACACCACGGGGGCCATGATGACTTTTGCCAGCGTCTTTGCTGTCCTCTTCAACGGCTGTACGGGCATCATGGCTGGGGCCAACATGTCAGGTAAGAGTCTTCTTTTGTTGGTGGGGTGTATGTGGTTAAGACTGCCACCGTGGGAGATATCGGTGTGACAGGAGGGCTGGCCCTTCTCTCTGCTGCCGTCCCTCTAGGGGAGCTAAAGGACCCCAGCCGGGCAATTCCATTGGGGACAATCATTGCCGTTGCATACACCTTCTTCATCTACATCCTGCTCTTCTTCCTCTCCAGCTTCACTTGTGACAGGTATGTGGTGGGCGGCAGTGGCAGACTGTCATTGAGGTTGGGTGTTAGAAAGAGACAGTATTTTGAAGCTGGGCAGTGGTGGCTCACGCCTTTAATCCCAGCACTCCAGAGGCAGAGCAGGTGCCCAGACAGGCTCCAAAGCTACACTGAGAAACAAAAGCAAAACAACAACAAAAAGATGGTACCCTGGGGTCACCACAGGTTGTCAAGCAGGTATGCAGGTTGTTGGCTGGAGGGACAGTTGGAGATAGTTTCTTCCACTGGGAGAGAGATGGTGCCACCCCTGGGGGAGGGCTGGTTGCATGTCACCAGCAGCTGCAGTGTAACTATTTGAATTGTAAACACTTTGGAGTTGATGTTGGGAGGAGCAGGACCTTTCTAGTAATAGAAAGTATTAAGAGACGATTCGTAGTCTGTATGGTTAAGATATCTTTATTCAGATAAACACCAGCCAAACGCAAGCCAGAGCGTGCCAGGGGCAGCGAGGCAGGCAGGCCAGAGAGAGGGCGCACGCATGTGCCTTGCAGCCCCTTAAGAACCTATTACGCGTCATCTTTTTTTTTAATTTTATTTATTTATTATGTATACAACATTCTACTTCCATGTATATCTGCACACCAGAAGAGGGCACCAGATCTCATAACAGATGGTTGTGAGCCACCATGTGGTTGCTGGGAATTGAACTCAGGACCTCTGGAAGAGCAGTCGGTGCTCTTAACCTCTGAGCCATCTCTCCAGCCCTCTTCCCACCATTTTTCCATAGTAGTGTGATTATAGGCACACACAAGCATGCCCTGTTCACCTTTCCACTAATCTCTCAGTCGCTGTAGGGAATGACGAAATCTGAGTAGATCAAAGATAACCAGTGAATGCCATGAACACATCTGGGCACCTTTAATATATAGAGCAGGCTTGTCTAGACATCAGGGCTACAGTCACTGAGGGGACTTTATTTTGTATTATATTTTTAAAAAGTGTGTGTTTGGGGGCTAGAGAGGTGGCTCAGCAGTTAAGAACACTAACTGCTCTTCCAGAGGTCCTGGGTTCAACTCCCAGCACCCACATGGCAGCTCAGAACTGTCTATAACATCAGGATCCAACACCCTCACACAGACATACATATAGGCAAAACACCAATAAACAAAAAGTTTGTGTGTGTGTATGTGATATGTATGTGTGTGATATATGTATATGTGTGTGATATGTGTGTGTGATGTGTGTGTGTGATATGTGTGTGTGTGATATGTGTGTGTGTGATATGTGTGTGTGATATGTGTGTGTGATATGTGTGTGTGATATGTGTGTGTGATATGTGTGTGTATGTGATGTGTGTGTGTGATATGTGTGTGATGTGTGTGTGTGTGATGTGTGTGATAAGTGTACATTCCTCTCCAAGGCTAAAGGGAGATGTCAGGTGTCCTCTAGGACTCTCTCTTATTCTTGTTTAAGGCAGGGTCTCTCACTTTGTAGTCCTGTCTGTCCTGGCACTCGCTCTGGAGACCAGGCTGGCCTCAAACTCACACAGATCCACCTGCTCTGCCTCCCCAGTGCTGGGATTAAAGGGGTGGTGGTGTTGCCACCCACCCGGCTTTTCTTTTGAGGCAGGGTCTGTCATTGAACCCGGAGAACCTGTTGTCTTCTCTGGGGCTACAGCCATGCTTGGCTTGTTACATGGGTGCTAGGATCCAAACTCAGGTCTTCATGGTTACCAGGAAGTTCTCCTGACACTGAGCTATCTCTCCAGCCTTTGTTATGTTTTTGAGGCAGGACCTGGCTCTGTACCCCATGCTGCTCTCCAGGCTTTAATATATACATATTGTTTTTGTTTTTGCTTTTTTGTTTGTTTGTTTGTTTTTTCGAGACAGGTTTTTCTATAGCTTTGGAGATTGTCATGGAACTCGCTCTGTAGACCAGGCTGAACTCAAACTCACAGAGATCCGCCTGTCTGTACCTCCCCAGTGCTGGGATTAAAGATGTGTGCCTCTACTGCCTGACCCTTTGTTATATTTTTGAGGCAGGGTCTTGCATTCTACCCTAGGCTGCCCTTGAACCAGAGATCCTCTCATTTCTCCTGCAGATGTGCACCATCATGCCTGGCCTAAACCAGCTCTTTCTTTTCTTTTCTGTTTTGACATAGGATCTTAATCCTACGGCCTTACACTCATAGCAGTCCTCAGCCTCCCAAGTTCCGGGGTTACAGGTGTGAGTCATCGGCCAGGCTCTAGGACCTATATTCTTTTGTTTGTTTTTGAGACAGGGTCTCATATAAACCCCAGGCTGGCCTCAAACTCCCTATATATAGCTGAGGTTGGTCTTGAACTCCAGATCCTCCTGACTCTGCTTCCTGAGTGCTAGCCTTACAAGGCCACCTCTAGGACATAGCTCTAGAAACAGTGTTTCTCATGAGGGCTTTATGGCTCACCAATGAACCCTTCCTCGTCCTTTTCCTCCTGGCTAGGACCCTGCTTCAGGAAGACTATGGCTTCTTCCGTGGCATCAGCTTGTGGCCCCCACTCGTGTTGATCGGCATCTACGCCACGGCACTCTCAGCCTCCATGAGTTCCCTCATCGGTGCCTCCCGGATCCTGCATGCCCTGGCCCAGGATGACCTCTTCGGTGTGGTGCTCCCTGGGTCTGCTGCACTACTCTGGGCTTGCCCTCCTGGGTCTATCTCCATCCCCTCTAGGCTCAGACTGATGTGTCTGGTATGATTCTGTTTTGTTTTGTTTATTAGGCATCATCTTGGCACCGGCCAAGGTCGTTTCTGGTGGTGGCAACCCCTGGGGTGCCGTCCTGTATTCCTGGGGTCTTGTGCAGGTGAGTCTTCCTTTCACCTCTCACTCTCTAGCTAGCAGACTGAGAACCCGTCTCAGGTCTAGATCAGAGGTGTAAATGAAATAAGGATGTAGGCCAGCTAGTGTTACAAACCTGTGATCCAACTTTGGAGGTGGAAGTAGGGGAATGATTGAAACTGAAGCCAGCGTGAGCTGCTTAAGACCAAGCCTAAAAATAAATAAAGTGGGCAGTCTAAGCATGCGGTCCTGACACTCAGTAGGCAGTGGTGCAAGGATTGCAGCAAGTGTGAGGCCGGACTAGCCAGTTAGAAGAAGACCCTGTCTCATAAAAACAACCCTCCACACACACACACTGGCACTCCTCGGGGTGCACTGGCATTTTTTTTTTTTTATTTATTATATTGAGACAGTCTCAATATGTAGCCCTGGCTGCCCTGAAACTTGATATGTACTCCGGAATGACCTAGAACTCATAAATATCTGCAGCACTTGCCCAAACTTGAGTATGTGAAGGTCGGAGGACAGCTCAGGAGAGCCGACTCTCCAGGGTATGAATCCCAGGGATTGAATTCAGGTCATTAGGTTCAGCAGTGAACCTCTTTATCCACTGAGCCACCTGGCTGGTCCTTGGAGCTGGCACTTTTGATTAGTGCTCACCTCTTGGTCGTTTCCCAGCTGGTGCTGCTGGCTGGGAAGCTGAACACATTGGCTGCTGTGTTCACAGTCTTCTACTTGGTGGCCTATGCCGCAGTGGACCTGTCTTGCCTGAGTCTAGAGTGGGCTTCAGCTCCCAACTTCCGGTGAGAAACAGAGATACCTTGGAGAACAAAAAAAGGAGGAATGGGGAGGATGGAGACTCCAGGGTGTGGCCTGGGGACTAGAGCAAGTGACAGGCAGGTGTTAAGGGCCATCCCTGAGTGCTCGCCCTTCCTTCCCTCTGTCTGCCCACCCCAGCCCCACCTTCAGCCTGTTCTCCTGGCACAGCTGCCTGCTTGGGGTGGCCTCCTGCCTGCTAATGATGTTCCTCATCAGCCCTGGGGCTGCCGGAGGGTCCCTTCTTCTCATGGGCCTGCTTTCTGCTCTTCTCACCGCACGAGGAGGACCCAGCAGCTGGGGCTATGTCAGCCAAGCCTTGCTTTTCCACCAGGTTGGGAACCCTTGAGGAAGGGTGGGAGGTTGTCTTGGGAGGCTCCCTGATCCCACCCCAGGGGTGTGTGTTTCTTTCTGAGAAGAACCCAGTGGTAACTGCTTATCGGAGCTCTTTCTCCCTCCTACCTCCTCCTGCTTCCCAGGTGCGGAAGTACTTGCTCCGTCTGGATGTCCGCAAGGAGCACGTGAAGTTCTGGAGGCCCCAGCTGTTGCTCCTGGTGGGAAACCCTCGGGGTGCCCTGCCTCTGCTACGGCTGGCCAACCAGCTAAAGAAGGGGGGACTCTATGTGTTGGGCCATGTCACTCTGGGAGACCTTGGTGAGTGACATCTTTCTTGCTTTTGTTCTTCCTGTCTTCTGTCTCAGAGGCCTCATGTTTTTGTCCAGACTCATGCAGGCTTAGAACTCTAGGAGACTAAATGATTTAAACAACCCAGGGTGTTGCTGATCTATACCCCCAGCCCCCCTCACTGGGGGATTCTAGGCAGGGGCTCTAATACTGAAATACAGCTCCAGCTCTAGTAAAGAGTAATTGAGCTTGGCCAATAGTTGCTCCTCTCACCTCTCTCTCTCTCTCTCTCTCTCTCTCTGTTTTCAAACTTCTAAGGACTGAACCCAGTACTTCACCCATGCTGGGCAAGCACTTCACTACTGAGCTATATTACCAGCCCTTAGGTTCTCCCTACTTAGTGGAGCTGGCCTTGACTTTGTCATCTTCCTGCCTCAGTCCCCAGCACTGGGGTCAGGTATTTGTCACTGTACCTTCACCCCCTTCTCTCTTTACTTTCCCTGTAGACTCACTACCATCAGACCCTGTACAGCCTCAATATGGCGCATGGCTGAGTCTGGTGGACCTTGCCCAAGTGAAGGCCTTTGTGGACCTCACCCTGTCACCCTCTGTGCGCCAGGGGGCTCAGCATCTACTTCGGATCTCTGGCCTTGGTGAGCAGCACCTCCCTCAATGTCTTCAGGCCCCTCAGTGGCCCCTTTCTATCTTTGCCCTCTTCCACCAGGGAATCAACTATGCTATAGATTGCAAAAGGAATTCACCATTCAGGGTAGATAAGACAGGAGTCAAAGATAACAGTGGCAGACTATCTAACAGTGGCCACAATATCTAATTGGAGATGTGGCATAGACAGGCCTGATGCTGGGGGGTGGCTTTAAAAAAAAAAAAAAAAAAAAACCCAAAAAACTACTTTTAACTGGGCAGTGGTGTCTCACGCCTTTAGTTCCAGCACTCCCAGAGGCAGGTGGATCTCTGAGTTTGAGACCAGCCTGGTCTATAGAATGAGTTATAGGACAGCCAGGGCTACACTGAGAGACCCTGTCTTAAAAAGCCAAAACAAAAAACCGAAACTCCATTTACTCGTGTGTGTGTGTGTGTGTGTGTGTGTGTGTGTGTGTGTGTGTGTGTCCGTGTGTGCACGTGCAAGCATGCTGTGTGCATGTGCAGAGGTCAAAAGTCAGCCTTCAGGAGTCAGTTCGCTCCATCTGCCATGTGAGTCCTAGAGACTGAACACAGATCATCAGGGTTGGCCACAGACACCCCAACCCATTATCCTTCTTGCTGGCCCTGGTTGGTTTGTTTGCTTGCTTGCTGTTGTTTAGACAGGGTTCAGTGGATCTCAAGCTGGCTGGGCACTCACTCGTAGCTGAGTATCACCTTGACCTACTGATCTTCTTGTTCAAGATCACAACAGGGCAGCCCTGTGCCTACTTTATGAGGTGCTGACAATGGAGCTCAGGGCTTTGTGCTGATAAAACCTCTATAAACTGAGTCACGTCCTCGGCACTTTCTGAGATAAAAATTAGAGCATATTTGGGCTCTGGAGAGTATTTCTCCAGGGAGAGTGGAAAAGTCATTTGAGTCTTTAGATGACCCCACTAAAACAGAATTTCTTCCATCCAAATACTAACTGGACTTAGTGTCTGAGATCCATTGATGTTGGGGTAGTAATGCCACTGATAAATAAAAATTAGCGAGACCACCTAATACCAATGACCCAATACTGATGTGGTCAGCAAAGGTTTTGTGGTGATGTGCTAACTGAGCTTGGCCTGAAAAGCCTCTGTAGTAGGGAAGCCAGGGTGATGGCTTACACCTGCAGTCCTAGCACTTGGGAGTGTGAGGCAGGAATTCTAGGTCAGACCGAGCTTTACAGTTGGACCCTGCCACCAACAATCAATCAAGGTGACAGCAAGGGGCAGAATGGGGTCCCTAGGTCACAAAGTATACTAGAGGATGTGTGGGAGTGATGTTTCCAGATAAAATGGCATCTTGCCAGATCTGTGACTCTTCCTGTCCATCACATACACACACATGTGCACGCGTGAACACACACACATACACACATACACTGGTTTGAAGCTAGGGCTTTGCTTATGTTAGGCAGGTGTTTTACCACTGAGACACACCCCAGGCCCTCACTGAAGGATTCCAGGCAGGTGCTCTACAACTGAACCACACCCCAGCCCCTCACTGGGAGATTCTAGGCAGGGGCTCTACCACTGAGCCACACCCCCAGGCCCTCACTAGGGGATTCTAGGCAGGTGCTCTGCCACTGAGCTACACCCCCAGCCCCCTCACTAGGGAATTCTAGTGATACTTTATTTCTAGTAATATTTTATAGCTAAGGTACATCACAGACTTTTTTTTTTTTTTTTTTTTTTTGAGATAGAATCTCACTAAGTTGTCCAGGAGGACCTTGAATTTGAGATCGCTGTGTGACTCACATTGCATGGCCTGTAGCCTTGTACCCTGAGCACTTCTGGGCTCAGCCACTTCCTCAGTCCCAAGACTAGTGTCTGTCATCTGGGCAAACTCCTTCTGCATCTGCAGTGAGTCAGGTTAAAGGTCAATCATATTGAACTTTGCACTGCTTGGTGCAAAGCAGGTTCTAGTAAAAGCTCAGGGTGGCGGGTGATCAGTTTCGCTTGCTGGATCAGTTGCTGTCCCCTCCTGCTAACAGGCTTGGTATTACTGAGTAGCATTTACCCCTGGAGCACTTGAGGACCCTTGCTCTTCTCTTCTGGCAGGAATCACTATACTAGTGACACTTACCTTGAGGAAGATGACTCCAGCTGCAGGGGGCTTGGGGAGGTGGGACATGGGGATAGCTATTGCTATGCAAATAAAAGGACCTGAGTTTGGGTCCCCAGTACCATGCAAAGGCCAGGCACCTCTGTGCACATTGAATTATAGCACTGGGGAGGTGAAGACAGGACAGCCAATGTGGCCAGCCAGTGTAGCCCAGGCAATGAACTCCACACTCTGTTAAGACCCTGTGTGAAAAAATGAGGTGGAGGGCTGGGCGGCAGAGGTGGCTGTGATGGCACATGACTTTAATCCCAGCACTTTGGAGGCACAGTCAGGTGGATCTCTGTGAGTTCAAGGCCAGCCTGGTCTACAGAGTGAGTTTCAGGACAACCAGGGCTACACAGAGAAACTCTGGGGGTGGGTGGGTGTGGGGTGGGGTGGGGTGTGGAGGCCTGTCAAGATGGTTCAGTTTATCAGCTTGTACAGTGTTTGTAGCACAAGCCTGACAGCCTGAGTTCAGTTATAGGTACCCACATGAAGGGAGGAGGTAAGGGACTCCACAGAATTGTCCTCTGACCTGCACATGCATGCATTGGCCCACACAGTCTCCCCATTATGCAAACACAAAGTAATAGTATGTATGATAAAGGTAGAGGCCAGGTATATGGGCACAGACTTTTAATACTATTGCTTGGGAGGCACAGGCAGGCAGATCTCTGTGAGTTCCAGGCCAGCCTGGTCTTCAAAGCCAGGACAGTCAAGGCTGTTAGACAGAGAAACCCTTTCTTGAAAAGCCAAAAACAAAAAAACGACAATAACAAAATCTGAAAAACTAAAAAACAAAAACAAACTCTAACAACTATGGTCAGGAGTTTGAGAGGCCCATGCTTTTTCTATTACACTTTGAGACTTCTGAGACAAGAGATTTGGGTCATTGAGGTTTGTCCAAGCTCAGCTAGGTAGGTCAGGGAACAGCCTGTTGTATGAACATAGTCACCTTCCTGCCCAGGCCCTTTCAGGCCTAAGCCTTCAGGCCAGTGACTTCATTGCGTGGGGCCTGAGGCTGGTTCCTTATCTGTAAAAGGGGAGAATAAACAGTACTTATCTCACAGCCTATTGCCACAAGGGTCGAATGAGGTGAGCATTCTTCCTACAGATGTGTCCTTTGATAAATGCCAGAAGCTCCCTGCTTCCTCTTGGGTGCCAGACTGCAGACCACTGGCCTTAGAACTTTGCAGCTGTGGTCCCATCCTCCCCTAGAGGGATCCGAGATGTAGCTTCTCTGGTGATTGAGGTCAGGAACTTGACCTATCAGACTGTCTGGAGGTGGAGGCAAGGAGGGTTGTAAGTTCAAAGCTAGCCTGAGCTACAGAAGAAGTCTCATTTCCTCAGTAGAATTCAATTTCAATCTCTGGGCTTTTGCCGTTTTGTTTGTTTTCTAGTTGACAAAGGCTCTCTTTCTGTAGCTCTGTAGCCTATGCTGCCTGAAACTGTGTAGCTCAGGCCACATCAAACTTGTAGCAATCCCCCTGCCTCAGCTTCCCAGTTGCTGGGGTCATCATGTCTGGTTGAGATGAGCTGTTTAAAGTCTGTGGTGGAAAACAACCAATCCTACCCCTAAAAGAACCCAGAGCCAGGGCTGTAGTTTAGTGGTGGAGCACTTACCTAGCATTCGTGAAGCCCTAAGGTCCGTCCCAGCACTCCATGAACTTCATGGGCTAGTCATGATGAACACCCATAATCTTAGCACTTGGGAGGTGGATACAGGAAGATCAGGAGTTCCAGGTCATATTCTGCCACATAGAGTTCCAAGCAAGCCTAGATTGTCCAAGACCTTGTCTCAAAAAAAAAAAAAAAAAAAAAAAAAAAAAAAAAAAAAGCAAAAAGTGCAAGCCTTTAATCCCAGTACTCAGGAGACAGAGGCAAGTGGATTTCTCTGAGTCTGTGCCTAGCCTGGTGTATATACTGAGTTGCAGCCCGGTCATGGCTCCATAGTGAAACTTTGTCTCAGAAGAATAAAAGCAAGAAGCAAGCAAGCAAGCAAGCAAGCAAACAAACAAACAAAAACAAACAAACAAAAAACTCCTGAAACGAAATCTAAAATGGGGCTGGGAATATAGCTCAGTCGTTGATTGCCTAACCTGGGTAAACCACTAGGTTTAATCTCCCAGAAAAAGAAAAACAAATTCCTAATGTGAAATTTACATATTTAAAGTGAAGGAGAATATTCCTAGAGATAGGCAAATTAATGCATGTGAAAGTGTTTAAGAAAGCCAGATCATTGTGCAAACGTGTATATAATGTAACTGTTGCAGGGGCCCTGGCCAAGTAGGATGCCATACCTCATGGCTGACCTAAGTGCGAGTGG